GTAAATGTTTTTGATGTAAATACCCAAGCCACGCTGCAGTGTGCCATTCTAGACTGCTTTATTAAGTTTATTTGTTATTACAGATCGACACTGGTAAAAGAAGGCATTTATACTTATTTATAAGCATATATTTTAGTGTTAACTTACACTGTTGTTTTCCAGAAATTTAATGAAAATGTGGCTGTGGGCACACCAAAGCAGTCTGCCAATCCAAGTAGGGTATAGAGGGTCTGTTATCTGCCGAATCAAACACAGGAGGGGAGAGGACTCAAAAAAACAGCTTTGAAATTCTGAGACGGTTCTAAAGAAAAAAAAAAAAATTACATTAGCGTGAAAATAAAGTCATGCTACTAAAGGTTTGGCTAACCAGATGCACCAGCACAGGTAATTAAAAATGCTCCATTGCAGCAGGATTTACTGATTTGTATAGAGTGACAGTAATCAGTTGGCCAGCTCGTTTTCTGCATTAATTTGAAGTGTAGCTGCCAGGGGATCTCACATGAAATCACAGAAGGTTTGCCAGGTGTGAATACCTACCTGCTCTACAACCACAAAACCACAAGCAAACACGTATTTTTCACTGATGTCAGTGGAAACATAAGGTGTCTTTAAAGGTTTCCTCTAAGCTAACAGCTACAATTTGAATCTTGCTTTGGAAGTTAATGAAAAACAAATACTTTGATCTCAGTGGATAGTGGGGTTGACGAAAAACACTGAAAATATAATACGTCCTGGCAAGAAGACTACAAAACACTAGCCTCATTTGGGGGCATTCTTACATACCTTCATCAGTCCCATCCAACAGGGTTCCTAATAAATTGCTGTGTGCCTAGACTGTCAGAAATCCACCCTGAATTCAGAGTCCTAATGATGTTTTTGTTGCGCTCCCATTCGCTTCCAAGGGAAATGCATCTCTGCTTTCCTTGCATCTGACACTGCCCAAAAGGAGGGTTGGCTTCCCTACATTTCTGAGGGAAGAAACTACATTTATTCGATTTATCGTGTCGTTCTCCATTCATATACAAAGTACACTGGCAGAGTAGAAAGAGTGGTCCCAAATTTTCCACAAGCGTAGTTTCAGTGCTTTAAGCAGAGGTAAAGTTGATATTATGGCTCTTGAATAAAGGATTTATAGCTTTTTACACTTCCCCAAAGTGGAAATGAAGATGCCCGGTATCTCCTTTCCTACAGCCTTCCCACCGCCCTAACAACTCGTATTTGCACATCATAGCCTCTAACTGAGACTTCACAAGGAGCCATTTGACACCTGACCTTTAAAAACCTTTTAGGGCTATAAAATGTGCTGTTGCAAATGAAAGCACTGCAATTGTCCTACTGTCTTTGAGAAACTATGATCTACTGGGATGTATACAGCCAACGGTGGTGGTGGTGGTGTTTACATTCCCACAGAACCAGAGGCAATGGTGTTTCGAGGTTTTGCACACCAAGTTCCTGACCGAGTCAGGTGTCTGATGGCAGGGAAAGCATTTTCCAGTAATCCTTCCACCTCAAGCTGTGATCTTGTCAGATTTTATAAGCAAAACAGCCAGGTCTGGTCAGAGCTTGGATGGGAAACCTCCAAGGAAAACTAAAGTGCTCCAGGAAGCGGTGTGGGTAATTTAGCTCCTGGCATTCTTCCCTCTGTCTGAGTAAATATTGAACCAACCTCTAACCATGCTGTTGCAGTAAGAAACATTGTGCTGCTGGTGGAAGATGCAAATCCAAAGGCGTCAGCAAATAGAGTCACTAGAGAGCTCAAGATGCTGTTCGCAAACGTAAGGGCGCTCATCTTTGTGCTCTTGAGCAGTATTCACGAATGATGTTACAACTACTTAAAAAGTGTCTCACAGGTTAAGTTAAACAGTGCACCCTCTGAACTCTGTTATTTGCTGAGATTCCCATCAAAACTGTGTGGGTTTTTTAGCAGAAAAGCAAAAGTGGATTTTTTTTACCAGACTTTAAAAGTCCATATTTATTTTATTTTATTTTCTGCGGGGTTTTTATTATTATTTCTTACAAAGAGGTCTTGAAAGGTATCTAGCGTTCAAAGAAAATATAGTGGCTGATCAGAACTGGATATGAAAACCAGAAAAACGGAATGCCCCAATCCTGAAAACTGTTGGAATAAAACAGCTAGAAAATCAGGACTACATGTCCCAGTACGTGAGGAGCGGGAACCCTCCGGCTGTGTGGCAGCGGCTCAGCACAAAGCAGAACAGGAAACACCGTGGGAGATGTTTGCCAGCCCAGAAGTCTGCAATTCCTGTGACTCACAGCATTTCCTAGCGGAAATGTTCAGTCTCTTTTCCTGATGGAATTTAACATCTTTTTCAGGCAAAAGTAACCACTTTTCTCCCTGGCTGCACGTTTTCAAAAGGGAGCAGCCTTCCACACGCAGGATTTTCTGCATTTTCCAGGTGGATTTTGCTCAGCCAGAGAAGAATCAGAGAAACCACACCTGACAGTGGATCTTTCCATCTCCCAGAGGAATTGCCTTCTCCAAGCAGCTGGGGGTTAGCACTCCTTTCCGTGTCTAGCACCTCGAAGGCTGTGAGCAGCGCAGATGAAAGGGTTTAGTGACATAAATGGAATATGAAAGGGCTGTTTTATAGAATAGATGCAAATCCATGACTGCTTTATCGCAGATGAAGTATAACTGATGATGTCTACAGGCAGCACTCGCCAGCCTAGATCTACAACTGCCTGAAAGGAGGTTGTAGCGCGGTGGGTGCCAGTCTCTTCTGCCAAGTAACAAGTGATAGGATGAGAGAAAAAAGCCTCCAGTTGCACCAGGGGAGGTTTAGGTTGGGTATTAGGAAAAATTTCTTCACCACAAGGGTTGTCAAGCACTGGAACAGGCTGCCCAGGGAAGCGGTGGCGCCGCCATCCCTGGGAGTATTTAAAAGACATGTAGAAGTGGTGATTCCTGAGGTGGTTTAGTGGTGGACTTGGCAGTGCTAGGTTAATGGTTGGACTTGATGATCTTAGAATCATAGAATCATTAGGTTGGAAGAGTCCTCTAAGATCGAGTCCAACCATCAACCTAACACCACCATGCCCACCAAACTAGGTCCACACTCATGCAGCTTAAAACTGAGCTTCACTCACTGGTTGTATTAAGAGAACAGTAACGTAGGACTAGATGGAGTGACCTTCACATATCCCAAGGTCAACATTTAATGAGCTGTTTCCAAAACCGTCTGTAACTGAGAGTTTTTGTAGACTTGCAGTTTCACATGGAGCTCACCAATAACTGGCAGCAGACAGACTCCAATTCCAGCCTTGGCATTCACTGCCTGGCTTTGGGAAAGCCCCTTTGACTCTCCGTGCCCTTGTCTGTTGCACCTCAACTACGCCACCTTCACAAGGGATTCCTTCTCCACACGGCTGCTGTGGAGCCAGGTGCCACGGCTTGCTCAAGCGCCATGAAGTCTCTAGACTAAAGGAGTGACAAAAGAGTCATCTAGATTACTGGGCTGACGATTTTTTTTTTATTGCAAATGTACACATTACACTACTGATAATGCACAGAAATTTAAAAAGCTGTCGTTTGCTAAATTTTCATGATTACAAAACTTCACGAAATTTGTTACAACTAAAAAAAACCCACCTTCAGGAGTATATAAATAGAATTTTGAGCATAAATAACAGTAACAAAATAAACAGATGTATGTATTCAATAAATTAATTATAAATATTGCATTGGCAATGAAGTGCTAGGTCAGAAGAACACCAGTATTTCCAGTAGAGCTTTTTTTGGTATAGAAATCTCTATTATAAATGAACCTTTGGAAATGAGTAAAATCCCTGAACTCTTTTCTCACACTGCTTTTTCTTTCTTTTTTTTTTTTTTTTTTTCTTTTGGTTTCACCTTCGTTATTCCTTCGCCAAATTGTTACAACGGGAGAACAGAAATGAAGCTATCAGACATCCGTGTTTTGGCCAGGAGGTACTCACTCATAAGCCCTTCCTGCAGGAAGAATGGTGTGCCTGACCCGGTTCTGTGGCATTTAAGTCACTAAATGTCTCTTCACTGATTCCCACAGATGCAGAATCAAGCCTGGAAGGGGCTTGAAAGAATTGCTGATGGTTAAAGGTTAAACATGAAAACCTGTTTTGCGATTGATTTGACCTATACATCACCCATTTTGAGTCCTTCTCTCCCTTTGCTAATGACATGCATGCTTATATACAACAGAACCTTGATTTAAACACTAATTTGAACTGCTCATTCCCTACCTGATGAACATAAATGGTAGTTCTGTGCACTCTTCCAACCACACACTGAATTCTCACTAATGCTAATGAGAACTCTCTGCTGGATGATGCTGATGCCACAGTGAACATAAATTAGCCTTTAAAAGAAATCAAAGATCCAGTTTTCCAAAGTACCCTTTAGCAGTTACGGAACAAAGAAATTTTTCCCTTTCTTCCCTTATTTCCTAAAGGAAGAAAAAGCACAACATACAAGCAGAATTGGTTTTTCAGTGGCATGCTTTCAACAGAAAGTTTTCCCAGAACGTTGTCAGCAGCTTTTCAAGAAACAGCGTTAACTCTAGTTCGCGTAACCACATTTGCTAGGTTTTCCTTAATCCTGTTTTGCTCCAAATGTTTGTCTTTAAGGCCTCTGAAGAGGACAAGGTTTTCTGCATTTGCTGCTATGAGCAGAAATAACAGGTGAACATACGTGGTAATGAAGTTAATGTAGAAAAATTATAATTATTTTATCGTCACCATGGTAATGGAGGAACTGATGAAACTGCTAAGCTTTTCCTATTCAATCCTTCTTTTCCAAATAAAACTATGGATAGGCAACTCTTTAGACTATAGAACAGCCTCTGGGCACTCATCTCTTATAGGTACAACACATGGCAAGGAAAAGGCTGGGTCCATACTGAAATATACAAAAAAAGTTCGAAATACACTACATGAAAAGCTAAAAAACCTGCAGTATTCTGCAATTTTTCTTTAAAAACATGTGTGTGTGTGTGTGATCAAAGTCATTTCTGAAAGCTGGGGCTCTTTACTGGTGACAGTTTGGAGGTGATGCCAAAAGGGTCCATGCTGTCCGTTTCAAGAGGCGAGGAGTACCCCTCTGGTTCAAAGGCCTGGCTGTAATCACCATATTCACCAAAGTCTGTTGACTCCATAGGCACAGTGTTGATCATAGGTAAGAAGTGAGACAGCGGAAGAAAATCTTTTCCTTTGAACTGTTGTCTTTGCTTGGCACTACTCAAAGACACCGATATTCCGTATTTTTTTGATTTATATACGTTGTAGCCATCTGGACGAATCTCCTCTTCAAAGGAACAATCCTCAGTGGAATACCTGAGCTGAGGAGCAAGGAGTAATGAAAATTACAAATACACCCACCAGACTCATTGTATTCAACCACGACATAAACCTGTGATGTGACCAGCCCTTCTCCCTCTGCTGTCAGCGGGGGTGTCGCTCCGGCTGGCCGCGGGTGCCCCGATTCGGGGCACCTTGCAGACCCTGCTGCCAAATCCATGCTGGTGAGCTGCTGCTGCTGCCTCTCTGCCTGGCTGCGGTGGGGATGCAGGTGGGATCCAGCGCTCTGGTGACTGTTCTTTCAGTGATGGGCCACAGCCACCAAGATGAAGTGCCCTGAGGTGGTCAGGCAGTCGGACTAGATGCTTGTTGTAGGTCCCTTCCAACTGAAATATCCTGTCCTATCCTATCCTATCCTGTCCTGTCCTACTATAACTCCCCACTTAGGCATTTTGGGTTATGAGGCCGTTAAAAGACCTAACGCAGAACTCCTGAAGTTAATGCACATCCATCACATTAAATAAGCTTTGAATCCTGGATGTGTACTTCCCCACAGCTACCACACTTATCCTGTCCTAGGCACAGGGAAAAACAACCTCAGATGGCAGTGCTCATTTAGATAAACTATGCTTAGTTGCTGACAGTACTTAACTGCAGTCATGAGACCTAATCCAACAATCCTCAGGTATAAAACTCTGGCTGTGTTAGAGATTTGCCTGTGTAAGGGCTTCAGGATCAAGTTTGTAGAAAGGCAGCGCTGCCAAAGGCAGCACTTAGGCAAACACGGCCAATCAGTGAAACAATACTAGAAAGGTAATTGCCTGGTTTTTACTCAGCATTTACTGAAATTGCAAAGGAGCAGTTAACACAGTGTTATTTTCTCATCCCACATTAGTTAGAACAGTCAAATTAATACCAGTGCAAGTTACAATTTTGTGTAGAAGAACGTATTTTCTTACGTATGAATTTGTAGAATTACGTTTGTGATATATAGTATAGTATATCAGGAGTTGCATCACCAGGTCAGACCTTTCCAGAGCCTTACACAAGCACTGTATTTCTTACAACTCCGGTGCTATTTCAGGCTCAGCCACCACAGGTGATTGAACTCACGGTCAATAAAAGACAATTGCTCATTATGTCTCAGTCTGCAGTGATAAAAGTGTCCTTACATGAATGTTCTGCCTGTCTGAATAGAGAGCATATTTGATACTCTTCAGTCCTTTCTCAAACACGCTTGATAATACGGAGTACAACTAAATACATGCATTTGGGTGTCTTCTAAAAGCACTTTTTAAACTAATGAAGTAATTTAAAAATAAAACACATTTTTTCCAAATAAAACCAGGCAATATTTATTCTTCTACATACATTGTATCTCATAAAAATACGTGTGTGCGATACAAATTGTTAACTGTCCTTATTTCTATGAGTGCTCAGCCTCACTAACAAGGATGATGAAATAAAAAAGCTTCTTGAGCAAGCCTGCATTACAAATAACAGTTATTGATTGCACCCCCCATGTCTCACCTATATCATTCCCTCTTCGTTTCACTGGGATTATCTCAGTGTGTTTTTCTAAATGAGTACCAAACACTTTTTAAGTATTTCCAGATTATTTTTTCACAGGAGGAATTTTTAGTTTGTCTGTACATTAAGCAGTTACGTGATTTCCTCTAAACTACAGACTACAGCACACTGCACGTTCAAAAACCAACCCTAGTCATCAGTTTTCCGGCGTTAAAAAAGGGCATGTTTCAGGAGTGCAAGTCGTTGCCCAGCTCAGTCCCCAGACACCGTGTTTGCCCTTTCGTTCCACTCCTGAGCGTAGCGCTGATAAGGCAGAATCGCCTGCAGAGCTGCCAGGTCTGTTAGCAGAGAGGTGACAGCAGGTGCCCATAACACACGGATGCCATGGCATGGCTACATGACATTGTATTTTCAGAAGAAAACCCACTGCAATTAACACTATACACCAACAAACCCAGTCTCAGTTAAGGCACATGCATATGCCTTCAAAATGGTGTTACATGAAACCTGTTTTAAAATTCTATGACCGCTAAAGTCCAGCCAGCAGCTCCGATGGGAGCAGGATCCAGGCTCTGCTTGGTCTTCATTGATCATTTTGCTTTGGATATACATTAAAACATTAAGCTAATAATAGACCTACCACATTGTCTGAATCTATGCACCTTATCATGGCATCAATTGATTCTAGCCCAGAAAAGCAAGGAAATTCAGAAAGAAAAGCTTAATGCTATGTTACATACGCGTTTCAAAACATCACTGCATCAGTATTGCTCTTATTGAAGATACTGGGAGTTTGACAACAGGCCAAGTCTTTGCCCGACTGAAATCAGCAGAAGTTTTGCCAAAGTAATCAGAGTCAAGCTCTATCTTTACTATGGCATAATAAAAAGCCATCACTCTGTGAAACTCAGGCTCCTGTAAAGCACTTACACACAGACTGAATCTGAATCTTACCTTCAAATTCTAGAGTTGGCAACTTACTCATGCGGCTTAAAAAACAAGTTTTTATGGCTGGCAATGACTAGCTGATATGCTGACATACCCAGGGAAAAAGCGTGACCTAACAAAGTGGTGTCAGCAGGTCACTCAACTCCTCAGCCTCTTGAAGTCCCACAGGTGTGCTGCTATTGCAGGTCAGAAGTGAGACACTGGAGAGGAGTCATGCTGCCCCTCGAAATCCTGTTTCTGTTTGGTACTACCTCAGCGATGGCAGCCCCGTGTTTCGGGGGCTTGTACGCCTGGCAGCCGTCTGGCTGCACCTCCTTCCCAAGGAGTAATCTTGGGTGTTTTTTCAGAATAGCTGACCTGAACAGTGAGAAGTTATTCAGGATCCATGGCGTGACAACCTATTTCTGCAGCAGAAACGCAGCCACCCACCGATGGAGCTTTATAAACACAAACGCGATTTTGCCCTGACTGTATATTTTGGCAGCGGACACGCAATACCTAACTTTACATTCTAAATGATGTCCCTTGCTGAATTTTAACAATCCTGACGGCCTTTCAGCAGTAACAGTGGCAAGAATCACCGGTCCTATAGAGAAAAGCGGACCCGAAGGCTTTGTTAACCCCTTACCAACCACGGCGAT